GTTTTAATTCCAATCATCCTAAAATTAATTCCACATACTAATCCCACATAATTTTGCATGTAGAATCCATTTCCAAGATCAAAACAATCAAAATCTAATCCTAACCATTTAGAACAGTCAAGGCCGAACAGAATCACAAACTAAGGGAAAGTTGGATTTCTTGCAAAATCAACACAGAACCACTTGATTCTTGTTGTTTCCAAGCCTTTAAACATGTTTCTAACATCTATTTCATCTTTCCCTAACCTCATCAATTTCGTGCAGCATGTCCCCTTAGAATTTCAATCATAAAAAATCCAATCAAACCAACAACCAGGCTCAAAAATAACAGAGGTAGAAACTACATCAAAAACGGCATACATGCCTTGTTTTAGAGCTTGATTTGGCTTGGGATCACTGTTAGATATGATTAGTTTTGATGATGTCAAATAATAGAGCAAAAATTTTGCATAAATTATTTACCTCATATTTTGACTAACTATCATACTTAATATCCTGTGTAGTTTCCTCAAGAAAAGAAAGGAGTTATTATGTTGAACTTTGAGTTGTGGAGAATGAACAAGAGGAAGAAGAAGAAGAGAGATTGAGAAAAGAAGAACTTGCAAGACCAAATGGAAATATCAAGATTTAAGTTCATAGATTTGATGTTAAAGGTTGCTATGCTCAAACCGGAAGTTATATAATCATATATTGAGTCACCCTTCATATAAACATGGAAAATAAGCTTCAGAGGTGATTTTCATGGGTATTTATCGATCACTTGATTGATCATCCACTTATCGATCAAGTTATCGATAAAACACATACTCTGTTATGCTCTGTTCTTCGTTCAGCTCTGATATAGGTTCCGTATTTCTCTAATATCTCTTAAACCACAAATCCGTTTGAGGTGAAACTTGATTCATATGAAACTAGACTCAGAACACGGTTCATAGGCACCAAAACCAACTTCAAAGAGTTTCATATGAGGGAAATATATTGTTCAAAACATTGAAGTAAGGATTAACGCCTTGATTCCGACCTTCAGTCACCGTGATGAAGATAACTTTGTAACTACAACGAATTTTGGAGTGATTATTTTTTCATTAGAAAATATTATTTTTTCATTAGAAAATAGATTCAAATAGCTTTTTGGGGATAGGTCATTTGCAAAATTTGGAGTTGAATTGGAAGAGTTATGATCACTCAAAGTTGACCTTTGTTTTGCTTGAATTAGAATTCGAATTTATTGAGGCAAAGACCAGAAGTTCTACATTGATTGATTAAGCTCTCGAAAAACATGCTACTCAAACATGTTATTGAGTAAAAGCACTAAAAGAAATGAGGAAATGAAAAGCCATTATCAGATGTTACTCGAACCTGATCAAGCAACTACATACTCGATCACTTTATCGAGTTCCTGGTACTATCTCTTCGATTCTTCTCTTTTATCTTCACATGCATTATTAAGGTTTTATCAATAACCTATTGGATAAATGGTTTTCGGATAATGTTATGGATAAATGTATTTATCGATCACTTGATCGATAAACAAGATTAACGTTATGGATAAACAGATTATCAATGAGAAGATAAATAAATGGTAATGCGTTCTACTCATTCTATGTTTTGCTTTAGTCGCCATTTATCGATCACATTATCGATCAGCTATTTATCAATAATATGATCGAACACTGCTTTGTAACTATGTGTGCAGGTATTTACTTCAATAGCTTATCGATCACCTGATCGATCAGCAAATTATCGATCACATGATCGATAATCAGCACATCATTGTTAAATCATGGCTCTTCGATCACCGGATCGATAATCAGATTGTCGATAATATTATCGATCACCGCACTTCTTGTTTACCTTGTTTTCACATAACGTGATCGATAAATCAGCTCTTTAATTTTACAAGAATAAACTTCTTTATCGATAACATGATCGATCATTCATTAATCGATTACCTATTCAATCAACCTACATAGCCTGTGTTTTCACTAAATATATTTTTGTTTATTGTTTATCGATAAGGTTATCCATCATCTATTTATCGATAATGTGTTCGAAAATTAGTGCTTCAAAATCTATTTCTATAACACTTTGTTTATCGATAACCTGATCGATCAATAAGTGTTCGATCACTTGTTCGATCATTGTACAAGTTCATTTCATAACAGTATTTCACGATGATTTCAAAATCTTTGATCTTTTTATCTTTAAGCTTTTCTCAGCCTTCCTTTTACACATAACTCTCTATTAAAAGGATACGAAGGCAAACGTAACTTGAAAAAGATTATCCTTGCATAATCTATTTAAAGCTCGCTACATACATGTTTCATCATTTATCGATCATTTGTTCGATCATCATATGATCCATAATCTATTCGATAATTGCATATATCTACTATATCTTTTCTTCATATAATTAATCGATAATATGATCGATCAAAGGATTATAGATCAAGGCATCGATTAAGTAAGTTCATCTTACTTTCTGAATATATGATGATTGATTCCATATTTTTCAACTTATTGTTTCTAAGATTATCAGATACTTATCACTTGATTTGATGAAGATTATTTTAGGTAAAGAGCCACAACGAATTTATGATGTGAAGAATCGACTTTTGTCAGAAGCTTCCAACGGCTAGTTTCAATGGTCATATTCTTCGAGCCAATCGGGAAGAAAATGCTCAACGATCAAGTACCCAACATCATCTATAAATAGAAGAGCATTCAAAACAAGAGAGAAGAGAAGAGTCTGAGCTTACAACATCAAATGCTAAAATGCCAAATCAATATATTCTCATTTAGAGCTCCGAGAGAAAACTCCCTGTCTCTGTACTTCATAGACTAAAACTTATGTATTCGTAAGATAGAGAGGAGAGTTTCCCAGATGTGCTTAAGATTCATCTATCACTTCTTTGAGAGAAGAAATATTCAATCTTTATTATCATTATCAGATTGTATCCTTATAGTGTGAAAGGGGGAGTATTTATCTCAGTAAGAGGTTGCTATTGAATAGACTGGTTAGTCTAAGGATTGTAAGTGGCGTCATAAGTACCCGGACCAAACTTGTGGTTGTAGTGGTTCTCAAGTACCCGTGTTAAACTTGAGGGAGATAGTGGATTGAAAATCTCAGGGGGAACCTGGGGACTGGACGTAGGTCGGTGAGGACCGAATCAAGATAAATCATAGTTTGCATCTTCTCTTCCCTTACTTCTTTATATTTCCAGCTAAACTATTTTACTAATGTGATTATACTTATGTCTATTCATTGTTTTTATACTCAATATTTCTTATGAATTTCATTATATTGCAAAAAGGTTTTAATTTTAATTAACACCCAATTCACCCCCTCTTGGGTGTTCAACCATTCTTACAATCACTTGGCCTTTCTTTCTCCCTCTTCTTTCTCTCTCTAGAAACCATTTTACAAGAGCTTCCCTATAGGTACAAGGAGCTTGGACGAAATGGAGGGGTAGGGAGGGGTATTTATAGAAAACAAGACTGAATCTCGGCCGTTGATCTTAAAAATACATGGCTTGATCTAGACCGTCTATTTTCTCTTTTTATCTTATGATGACATGTGTCCTATGACATCATACTTACCTCATCTTGATGACATCATGCTTACATCATCAGGCCACATGTCTTTAATCTAACCGTACACATGTCTTGCATCTGACCGTACACGTGTCTTGCATTCAACTGTGCATGTAATACCTTCTTTTCCCATCTAACCATACACTTGTCTCTTCCATATTCCTTCATCATTTTGGCATTAAAATAGAGAGGAAATTAATATAAAATTCGTGCAAAATATAGCCCTTAGGCATTCCTCTACCTATTTTGCCATTATGCACCATATCAGGTACTTTTTTTGAGTCCTGATTGACTCGGTACCACTGGGACATGTTCTGACACTATTTTCTCATCTTAATTAAGTACATATATGGCGTCATCTTAGAGGAGCATAGATAAAAATAATTAACTTTATTGACAGGCTACTTAACCTTACTGAGTCACGCAGTAGAGATTTCACTATAACGAGTAGACAAAGGACTGTCTAAAATATTTTCGTACTGCGTTCTGATTTTTATGCTGTCCATAAATATCTTCTGCTGACTCAGCATGATGACTCGTAGGTGTCATGATGGTCTTTAGATATTTTCTTTCTCCTTTTCCCAGAAATATTATTAAATAATACTTAATCAGGGTTACCTTTTCCGAGTTCTTTCTATCGGCTCGTAACTCCGTTGATCTGTCTCTGGGTTTCATTCTTTCCCTTTCATCACAAGAAATTCTTCTAATTTTTCTCGGGTCAAAAGTCAAACTCTAGACAGCTATTTTGACTTTCCCCGGATAGGGTATAAATAGGCTTTAAATTTAATTAAAGCTAACCTTGTCAGTTTCTGGGGACGGGATTAATTTAAAATCTGTGTAAATTCCTCAACTACTGTTCTCCAGTTTTTCCTGATTATTTGAGGCCGTCTCATAGCTTAAATAATTCAATTTAAGTTACTATCTTAAATTGTCCAAAACCCTAGAATGACTTCCGAGCATTTCCGTCATTTCTAGCCTTATATCAGCTCTGGGATCCTATTCCCATTTTTCTGGAATTTTTCTAAGTTATTTGGGCCTTTTTTGCTAACTCTGAGCATTGGCCAACCAAAACTTTTATTATTTATAATTAGGTCCCTACTTGGCTTAGGAATTTTTTCTTTGCAATTTGATCCCTCCTTAGGCCTAACCTTCGGAACCATATCTTACAAGTTTCTGGCATAACCTCTGGCCTTTTGTTGTTTCCAATTCATCATTCTTTAGTCCCCGAACACTATTACTTTACACATTTTCCCTTGGAAAATCTCTTTTTCCTTCCGAGGGATCTCCGAGACTTTCGTTGCATTAGAGTTAGTAATCATCCTTTCCTTATGCTAGTACTTGTATCTATGAGTCAAAATTTGGGATGTTGCACCCTCTATTTATAGGAACTACTTTACAACTCTAACAAAATCTATATAGTACACAATAATAGGAGATAATTGTGGATCTAAGATAAAATGAAGATAATATGAGAGATATGGATATCAACATAGATACTATTATATTCATAATACTTCCTCTTAGATGTCCATCATATGAATATACTTCATTAACAAACTTGAACTAGGAAAAACCTTGTGGGACAAAACATAGTAGAAGAAAAAGAATAAATTGTTCATTGATACACTATCTAGTGTTGCCTCATTAAAAACCTTGCCTGAAAAATTCAGTAGAACAAAACCATAAACAAGAAAAAAAAATGTACAATATGCATTAACTCCCCCTCTTGGTAATATTAGTTAACATCTTCAAGCTCCAATGTCTAATATAATGAACATGCCTTTTAAATATTATATATAGATAAATATGACCGATATTAATTTAATAATCTTTTGAAGACCATGAGACAAATAGTACATTTGTGGTCTACCAACATGTGGATTATACTGTGATCTCTTAACATGAGGATCAAATACGAATCCTTCATCTGCATAGCCAATAAGATTAGTCTTAGATATATTCACATAAAACACCACTTTAATTTTCTTTAAAAAGCATCAAAGTTTTTTTTGTCTATTTTTTAAAATTTAAATACATTATTAATTAGTACCGTTTTTTTTTTAATCTTCCCTTCCTCTCTTTTTCTATTTATTATATTCTGTCCTTTTTGTTTTACTGTTTTTATATAAATTAAGATTTTTTAGTAAAATAGCATTATATTTATTATAATTTAGTCTATCTAATCATTTCCTTAGTGTTTAATCCATATGAGCAAATGACTATTTCAAACTGTCACAAAAAAAAGACTATTTCAAATGAACCGACACTCACTACAAAAAAATATGTTTTTAGCGACGGAATTTAGCGACGGAATTTTTTATTTAGCGACGGAATTAGCGACAGACTAGCGACGGATTAGCGACGGAAACGGATTAGCGATGGAATTTGTTCCGTCGCTAATTCCTTTGTCGCTAATTGATTAGCGACGGAATTGAAATTCCGTCGCTAATTAGTGACGGATTAGCGACGGAAAATTTCGTCGCTAATTACCGACGAAAATTTTCCGTCGCTAATTCTTGACCGAAATTTCAGTCGCAAAATTAGCGACGGAATTGTTCCGTCGCTAATCCGTCGCTAACCCGATTTTTTTAAAAATAAAATAAAATGCCACATGGCACCTCTACTAATTGCCACGTCATCACTGGGGACCACCTCCACGTGTCTCTGCCACCTCACCTCTACCTGCCACGTGTGCTGCCACCTCACTTGTGCCTGCCATGTGTGCTACCACCTCACCTCTGCCTGCCACGTGTGCTGCCATATCTCACCTCTACTGCCACATCACTTGTCACCTTTGCCTGCCACGTGTCGCCACCGCATAATTTCCTCTTCAAAGTGACTTCTCCATGGCTCGAACCCAGGACCTCCTCTGTGCGCGCGTGCGGCTTTACCAGTTGAGCTGCAATGAACCTATTGACTTATTATGTAAAATTAAATATATATATAATATTATTTTACACAAACAATTATATATATTATTAAAAACTAAAAATATACTATATGATAATTTTAATCATTAACTATTTTAATGAAAAAATAATTTTTTAATATTTTTTAAATAATTTTTTATTCTTAAAAAATATTTTTAATATAATTTTAATTTCTAACCGCACTAATCTTGAATTTTAAATCATAAATAATTTTTTTATAAATATTTTTTAAATTTTTTTAATTAACATTGATAAGATATACAATTTAATGATATATATATGTATTATATTACATTATATTATATTATCTATATGTGGTTTATATATTTGAAGAAAATCATTTATAATTAGTCAAAAAATCTTGTTATTCAAAAAATAACTACTATAATAAAATCTAATAAATTATTCTATATAAAAAATTAAATAATTTGAATAGATTATGATAAACAATATTCTCCTGCTTGTATATATATCCTATGTAATTTATTTTCTTAAAATTTTTTATATATACCATTTGTTTTTGTATTAAAACCAAAATCAATCTATCATGGGTATTAATTATATCGTGATTAAATTTTATTGTTTAATGATTGAAATTCAAAATTCACTTCAATATTAATTTGCATTCATATAAATTTATTAAATCGTTTTGAATTTCTATCACATATTATATATTTCAATATATTTTACATATGATAAAATTATTTCTTTCTTATATCATTTTGTATAAAAAAGTTATTAATAATCTTATTGTATTTTTTAATTATTATTAATAATCAAGAGGAATTTATTTTAACAAAATATAAATAAGTTTTCTAAGAAATTATCTTTCTATTTTCAGTATATACATAATGATGACATGAATGATGACGATATCTTCATTAACACCAACTCCATAAGTATATCAATTTATTTTATAATTAAAAATGTTTTTAAATCATTATATTCTTAATTGTTATAATATAATTTTTGTAAGATTATAATTTAAAATAACGAAATTTAAAATTAGTGACGGATTAGCGATGAAATTGCGACGGAATAGAATTAGCAATGGAATTAGTGACAAAAACTTCTGTGACAAACAATTTAGCGACGGAAATTTCCGACGGAAAAAATTCCGTCGCTAAATATTTACTGATGGATTTTCCGACGGATTAGCGACGGACAGAAATTCCTGTCGCTAATCCGTCGAAAAAATTAGCGACGGAATTTCCATCGCAATTCCGTTAGAAATTAGCGACGGAATTTGTTTCTGTTGCAAATTCCGTCGGTAATTAGCGACGGAATTTGTTTCCGTCGCTAATCAGCTGTTTTTTTGTAGTGACTGTGAAATGATGGCCTAGTTCATTTTACGAATAAAAGCATATAAAAAATTAAAAGCTGACAAGACATAAAAATAAGGGAAAATCAGTATTAGATTCTCTTAAAAAAAAAAAGAAAGTAATTATCACACAAAACCCTCATAACAAATGAGCAGTATGCAATAATAGGTTCTGATACAAACAATAACACATCCAAGTTGTTCATTTGTTATAATATTTTTTAGTGATCATATTTTTTCTTAAAAATCTCACAATAATATATCCTAAAAATATATCAATAGGAAGAGATATAATTAACCTTTATATTATATATAGTGAAGCCTGTGATGACTGTAAACAACTAAATAGGGCTATCGGAAAGTAGTGCTAAGACGCGCATAGCTTTTCTTTTGTCATTTCTCTATTGCAAGAAAAGCTAAACTTCATCGGCTTTTTAATTTTCTAACAGGTCATCATCAAACCCACTAAGCGTTGGTTTACTTTAGTGCGGTTTGTTCAAAGAATCAGAGTAAATTTATTATAACTTAATAATAGTAATATAATATAATGAAATGATGACCACACAGTGTTTGGTATGCCATTAAAAAAAAACTTTAAATAGAACATATATTTTATCTAAAAACTAAAAATAAATGTAAAATAATATTTTATTAAATAAAGAGATAAAGGAATTGGGGTGAGGAAACTCTTAATAATGGAATCCTCCCGATCTTAAGATTTCTAATGGTCATCATCAAACCCACTACGCATTGGTTTACTTTAGTGTGGTTTGTTCAAAGAATCAGAGTAAATTTATTATAACCTAATAACAGGTAATATAATACTGCTTCCGGTCTAAACTAGTTTAACTTTTAATTTAGTTCTAAATATAAGACTCCAATTTACTTTGTCTATCATATTTATCTTTTTTTTTTTCAAAGTAGTCTTTGTAGTGGTTGCACATATTAAATGTTCTATCAAGTGGTGATTCTAGTTAATACACATAATTAGTAAGGGTATTTTAGGAAAGATATTTATTACAAATAACTAACTTAACAAACTTTTTTAATCTATTCAAATTAGTTAGCTAACTCTTATATTATGGACCAGAGGTAATATGATAAAATGATAACCACACAGTGTTTGGTATGCCATTAAAAAAACTTTAAATATAACACATATTTTATCTAAAAACTAAGAATAAATGTAAAATAATCTTTTTATTAAATAAAGAGATAAAAGAATTGGGGTGATGAAATTCTTAAGGGTTAATGTCATTCAACATCCTGAAATATTTTTTTAAATGCATCCAGCACCCTAAAGTATTTTGTGGTACACCCAATATCCCAAAATATTTTTTAAGGGCCCTAGCACTCTGAAGTATTTTTTGCTTGGTGCTGGATACGTCAAAAAATATTTTTGGTTGCTAATACTTTAGGGTATTAGATGCACCACAAAATATTTTAGGGTGCTGAATGTACCAAAAAAATATTTCAGGGTGTTGGATGTATTTTAACCCTATCTTAATGATGGAATCCTCCCGATCAGCAGTGTTTAATTAAGATTTATGGAATACTACTTCAGTTCTTATTATAAAATCACTTATAAGTCCTTCTCATATACTAAGAAATAACAATTAAGTTATTAAATAGGCAAATCTTTTTAAATTTGTCCTTATTAAAAAAAATCTTTCTTTATATTTACAGATCATTCTTATTCCTCTCTCTCTCTCTTCCCCCCTCTTTTTCTCTTTCCAATAAAAATTAAATCAGAGATCAAGCTTCTCTCCTATAAGTGGCAGACAGAAATTGGAGTGGTAGGTACTATAAATACCTTTTTTTGGAGGGCCATAGAATAAAGGAAAGAAAGCATTTTAAAAACGAAAAGCATTCTCACATTTTTAAATGTATAATTGAAATCATGAAAACGAGAACATCAATAATTACGACTCTGTTAGGCTGCAGTGGAATTTCCCTTTCATTTATTTTTCCGAATTTTCTTTCCCTTTCCACCAAGGCAACGGTAAAGCCACATAAGGATTATCATTATTATTCTCAAATTTGCCAGCATTATAAAATTTTTATACAGAGTCTTGTGTATGTACCTAAATTTTAATATATATGAGAATACTGAAAAATTCATGGCTTGGATCCTTCAATTAGACTTGAAAAAAGCCTATC